TTCAGGAAGCCATGCTGCAACTCTGCCTGTTAATTAGGATTTTGGGGTGTTTGAGGTGGGAACGTGCTTGGGCTCTAAAGACAGCCAGTGCCTCACCGTGTGCTATGACACCGACTCAGCAGATTTCCCATTTTCTGTTTGTCTCTGCTCTCATGGTGAATAATGTTTGCATTGGTAAAAGTGGGGTTGGCAGATTAAGTGGTCAGTTTGCGGCAGGCAGTGCTGCACCGTGAATATGTCATCCAGTTTTGGGGCCCTCCACAAGTCAGGAGGGATGTTAAGATCCTGGAGAGGTTACAGTGATGGGACATCAAGAAGTTCAGTGACCCGAAGGGTGTCACCTGCAAGGAGTTGCTGAAGGATCTGGCCATATTTAGCCTGGATAACTAGGAACCTAATAGCAGTCTACAACTACTTGAAGGGGACTTACAAAGAAAGTGAATCCAAGCTCGTTTTCCAGCAGTGATAGATGATGGACAAGTTAAAGGGTGTGAGTCTCCACGTGGCCACTAGGAAGAAGCGTCTCCATGGGGTGGGTAGTATGGCACTGGAACAGGCTGCCCAGAGAGGCTCTGAGCCCTCCATCCCCTGAGGTATTGAAGCCTTGGCTAGTCAGAACCACAGCCAACCTAGCCTTGGTGACCTACAGCAGTAGGGTGGCCCAGCCAACCTCCCAGGTCCCTTCCAACGTCACGATCACCACGGTGGGCAGCTGTTTTCTAAATGTATGATCTTCCAAAGTGTAATTTATGGTGCTGCTTTCCTCACCCAAGTTTGTCCTCAAAGCCCAGCTTTCTGGCCTCACTGAAAACCACGGATGAGACCACACAGGACTGAGGGGTGCTGGAAATGTTTAAGTCAAAGCCATCGTTAGCGAATTCACATGAAGGTGGGCAAGCACATGGCCTAAAGCCCATCAGACAGCTGGTCTTGTCATCTGACCGACTCCGAAACACCCTTGCTTGGGGTGGGACAATGCTTGCAGGCATGTGACAGGTCTTAAATTGACAGCCCTTTGCCTTGCTGGCTGGGAGCTTGGGAGGGAAGGGGGCAGGAGGGGTGTTGTCAGATGACTTTAGTTTTCTTGCTCCAGAGCAGTAGGTAATTTTGAGTCTTCTGCTTGTTATGCCACAATAAGCCTTGTGAGAAAGCAAAGCTATGCAGACAAAAATCCCACCCTCTGCCCTGAAAGTACGAGCCAGAAATAAAGCACACAGAGAGGAACTTTGTTTCTTCAATTTAATTGAAGTTACTTAGAAAAATAATCAGGCTTGAATGGCTTTTTTAAGGAAAGATTCATGAGCAGTTCACACTTGTGTTGGCAATGTATAACTTAGCTTTTTTCTTTATTAACAGTATATTTAGGTATGAGGAGATACTTTTCTACAACAAGCCTTCTACTGCATACAAATAGGTTAAAAAAAAAAAATCCAACCCCACGTCGATGTTAAATTATTCGTACACACTGTATTGTGCATGCATGTAAGAAAATAACACTCTCTGTAACAAGAGTAATAGTAAGGACAGTCCCTTTTTGTACCTGAAAAGTGCAGCAGACTACAGTGAAACCCTAAAACATCTGGGGTCGACTTTTACTCCTAAAAGCGCTTTTGTCTGTGGCTTATTCATGTCACTTGCCTTACGCAGCGCGGGGCTCAGGCAGTTTGCACGCTTGTGTGATAATGGACGTGGGTTATGAAGAGGCCGGAGCACGGACCAGGTGGGGTTTAGAGGGCCTCTCACCGCGCAGGGGTCACTGTCGTGTGCGCATGGGACACGTCCAGCCTGGGCTCCAGGTTAAGGTGCTTGGGGCCACCTGGAGGGAGCGAAGCCCCGGCGGTGGGTACCGCGCCGGGTGAGGAGCCGCAGGCGCTGCTGGGCTCAGCGCTGTCCCTGCCGAATGATGGGGGGGCTCCAGCTGCTCAGGGATGGGGGTCACCGCTCCCCCAGCCCAACAGCTCTGATGGGGGCTGCGGGGAGCTGGACCTTCCCCGCTGGGTCCTGTCCGCGCTCACCACTGCTTCGCCGTGGTTAATGAGCATCCCTCAAACGACAGCTCCCCAGGTGGGCCTCACAGCCCCACGGGCATGTCTGTACCTGGAATTTTGCTGAGGATGCAGTTTTGCTCATTTGTTTTCCAGGACCAGCTGTAGCTGCAGCAGAAATGAACCCATGGGGAGGCAGCACCTTGGAGCAGACCAGCCCCTCTTCTCCTCCAGCTGGGAAACCCTACGAAGAGGTGGGGTAAAAGCAACTGGGGTGGGGGTCACCGGCTTGCTGAGCTGAGGAGGAATGGCCCTGAACATCCTCCCCTGTGGGGGAAGTGGGAAAAGATCAGTTTTGGCTCAGTCAAAACAACACACTCAGTAAACCAAAAAAACCCAAAGGCTATTCCTTAACATTTGTGGTCATCCTCGGACCTGGTGAGGGCTTCGTGCTCAACGCGCAGGACACCCAGCACGTCAGCTGCCCATTTTAAACACAGCTCTACAGCCCATTCCCAGCACCCCAAAACAGGCATAAACGTGCAAAATGGGCGGTTTGTAGCAGTTTGGGATCAAGGTTTTGAAAAAGCAAGTGGCTTTTAAATACCTGCTTAAGACCACACAAAAGCCATCCCAGTGCCCGTAGGGCAGCCCCCTTAGGGGAGGCGGAATTTGGGTAATCAAACCCAAAGCTGCTGCTAAAAATCCCGGCTGGAGCAGCACTCACCCCTCAATTTCCAGAAGAAGTTTTTCACCTAAAGCTTTTCTGTCGTAGTTGTCAAATGGGGGTTTTGCGTCTCCAAAGCAGTGAAACTAAAGGAGGAGTACTTCAGAACAGACACAAACGTGGTGAAGACAGACAAAAGTACAAAAAGAAAGGGGGAAGCACATCCTATTTTTAAAATATATGTACTTCCTGAAGCAACTTTTTTCTTAAGTAAACAAAATTCACATCACATTCTGTTGGGGGGATTAACAGCTGACTGAAGAGAAAATTGGACCAAAATGTTAGCACTGTCAGATACAAGACCAAACAAGCACACGAAATATTGGAGGGGGAGAGGGGAAATCTACCCTCACACAGATGATTTTTTTTTTCTTAACAAGCATCTAACCATTGAGCTATGAACAAAAGAACTGCGACAGGCACTTGCAACAGCTCTGCACGCGCTAAATGAGACAAAACTGCTTTCAAGTACAACGCCAGCCAGCAATCAGCAGCCGCTCAGGAACCCAGAGCCGCGGGGCGCAGCCAGCCAGCTCCTCGCCCGCCACTGGGGCAGCACTGCGGGTTACACACGGGGCCTGGGCTATGAAAACAGTTCCAGAGTGGATGAGAGATTTTTTTGTAGGGAGTGATAGAAAAATAATGACCTGTGTCCCAGCTAAGGCCAAATCCAAATGTGAAAAGACTTCAGCTGCTGTTTGCTATGTTAATTCGTTCTTCACTGAGATTTATTCAGCGACTTATTTTTATAAAATAAGACAGAACTTATTTGTCTTCTTTAAGCACATGTGTGCCCTGGAGACTCCTGTAATTCAGAGAATGAAACTCGGCTACTGTACAACACGACATTTTCAGCATCTGGCTCCGACACTGCTAGAACAGCTCTGCCTTCAGCTGGGTTTATTTAAATCCTCACAAATTTTTGGAAGTGCTAGGTTTGGTCACAAGACTGACACACAGGCAAGTCAACCCCCCATTTTAACAATCATTCAATTTTGAAACAGATCGTAGGTCCCTACAAGTGGCCCCCCACCCCCCAACTCAAGTCTCTGCCTCCTCCTGCCCATCAGCCGGCTGCTGGTGCTGCCGCCCCGGGACGGGACGGCTTGGGGTGGCCACAGACCGCTCCCCAGGCAGGCGTCCACCGCCCCCTTGGCCATGTGCCTCTCCTGCATCAAACTAAAGCAAATGCTTGGAGAAGCCTGTGCTTCGGCTCGCTAGGTTGCTGGTAGATCCACACCGAAATCCCTTTCTTGAAAGGTGTTTGCTGTGAATGGATTGATACTTGCTTGTCCCAAACAGTCTCCCGGTGCGCTACGCCTGTACAATCTGCCATCCCAACGAAACACTCGTTACAGAGACATTCACCTTAACTCAGTCACTGTTTCGCACCAGAGCTGACATAGATGAAATACTAACACACCGGACATTGGAAACATCCCTGTCAATGCTATTTGACAACAAAAAAAAGGCTCCTGTTCCCAGGGAGAAAGCCATGAAACCAGCAGGTAGGCAGATGAGATCTTTTTAGTGCCTTACCTGCTCAGAAATCAGCACTAAGGTGACCTACTGGCTTTTCAAATGACACGCCCACATCCTTTACAGCAACGTATCGAGACCAGTGTTTTTTGAGCCCATTTTGGTTGCCTATCTTGAGTTCAGTTAGGGAGGGATGACTCACAGAGGGTGAAGCTCCCCCCACCCCCATCCTGGCTATGAACTACATGAATATCAGTTGCTTTGGGCATCCAAAAATCTCTACAGTCACTTTCAAAATGCTATTTTTTTTTCTGATGGATCATCCTCAAATCTGCATTCCTTTGGGCTGGCAGGCTTCAAATTAAGAGACAATGGGACTGGTCATATTCTTAATAAAATTATTAGGTATAGATTTATAAAAAGTTCATGGTTTCTCTTCCCAAGGAATACATTCACATTTCTTTCAGTCATAGGTTTTAGATATCATGAATCTATCAAGATTTGTTTTACTTTTCCCTTCCAGGGCTAGAAAGATAAATGTACTAAAAAAAAAAAAAAATAATCTAAGTGCAATATCACTTTCTGAGGAAATCATTTCCACCGCCCTTCTCAAAGCATGTGGTATCAAGAACCATTCCTGTATTTACCTGCATCAACAGCTGATGGAAGTATATTATTACTCAACTAAGGAAAGCACAAACCAGGCTCCTTTTGTCCAAATGTTCTCTTATCTCTGCTGCTGAAGTGACACCTACCAAGAGACCATGTTTTAAATAAGTATAAATAACATTAATTAGAATTGGAGGAATGCAAGATCAATGAAATTCAACAGAACACAATATTTTTTAAAACAGTGTAGCAGTATTACTCATTTCTACAGCTAGATCGTCACAATCCTGTTACCCTGCAAAGAGAGCTGTCCTTTCTTACAGCTGATTTAAATAATTTTGACTGTGCTGCTCGCAGCATCATTCAAAAAAAGAAAATATTAATTTACAAAATAACCCATTCTCCATATTTATTATGACAAATAAAAATCTTAAATAAAAGAGGCTTTCTCTCCCCTCTCTCCCCCCGACCCATCCCTCATTCCAATTTCAGGTAGCTTGGCACTGAGTAATTGAACATTAAAAAATCAAGTTTGTAGACTTCATACAGCTGCGTTTGGTGCTCGGAGCTGATGTTCTGGAAGAACTCTGTGGTCATTTCGTCAGTAGTTCTCGTAGACTTTGCATAGGTGGGGAACTTCAGGTAGCTGCCTACTCCCGCCAGCTGGAGAATGTAATTCGAATCCTCTTCGAGCGTTTCGTACTTTCCTATGAGGTCGTAGTGGATGTGGCAGGGGTGGCAGAGGGAGTACACAGTCTGCCAGTGCTCGTTGAAGGGCTCTTCTCTTTGGGTGTGCGGGTCGATGAGATAGGCCACAAACTCTTCAAATTTCACATCATCGCCTTTACGCAGAGCTTCCTGGGTTGCGTTTTTCCTCTGGCGCCTCACGATTTTGGTGCCGTACCGCTTGTGGAAGGAAGTGTTGTACTTCTGGGTGAACTTGTTCCTGTAGGCTGACACCAGTCTCTCGAAAGGCTCGCGAACAAAGAGGAACTTCATGTAGTTTTTCAAGCGGTGGTTGATCTCTGGGATGCTGTACTGGTTGAGGGTCTTCAGGTTTGAAGACACATGGGCTTCATTGGCTGGGATTTCCATTGGATCACTGTACTTGCCTCTTCCCGTCAAAACCATCATGACTCTCTTCCAGTTTGTGCAGGCCACTTTGGGAACATAGCAATAGATCATTTCGTGGTCTTCATCCACGACCAGGTGTTTGAGATCGTTGGGTGTCAGCACGCGGCGCTTCCTGCTAGAGACGCTGTTTGCTCGGCACGTGTCTGTCACTTGGTCTCGTCTAATCTGATGAAGGATTGCTGTGTTGGACAACTGCAAAGAAAGCACAGGCACCAGTAAGTCAAGCTGCTGGGAAACCCTTACTGCCTTGTTGCCTATTACACAGACTCATAGAGACGGGGATTACTGCCTGCGTACAACAGCTTGTTTCTTGGCTAGGACCTTGGCAGAAGAAATGAAGCCCATGGAGATTCCTGCTAATCCCCGAAGGGAACATTCACTCAGACATGTTTTCTTGAGGAGCAGGGAGAATATTAACTATAAATTTGCTTCTCTGCTAAAGCCACATTGTCAGAGAAGGAAAGAGTATGTGGCCTTGTGACATACACAGCACTATGTTCACCCACAGCCTTTTATTATTTTGTTAATAGTACCCTAACTTTCTACTATTGTTGCTGCTGGGTGCTTTGGAGAGGCTGTAATCTGGTTTGGGAGGGCCACAGGGCAGCTGCACAGAGACGGCCAGAGTCTCACCACCAGCCACCTCCTGCCCAGTGTCCAGCGACAACAGCAAGAGGTTCTGCTAAGGCAGGGAATGAGCTCCTGTGGGAAACAGGGAATTCTAGCCCAAAGCAAAGGACCATGAAGATGCATGGCTTCTGTGTTTGGTTACTCAGAGCCATCTGGGGCATCTCTGCATAGCACTGTGTTCTGCTGCACAGCCCCACCCTCACTGCTACAAATGCCTTGTTACGTGTTCTGAATAAATGGCACCAAAGCAACAGGGGGAAGGTTTTGGTAATGTTATTTACATTCACTTAACACCACTTACCTGTGGATTTCAAAGAGCCTTATGGTCAATAATTAGTTTAGCCTCAAAGGCAAGTATTAAGGCAAGTATTGGCCTTGCTGTTGGATAGGCAAGGAGGTCTGAGATTCCTTCTGAAACACTGAGTCTTTCAAACATTTTGATCTCATACCTTCTAGTTGGGTTAACACGAATCACAGGACACTGGGATGAAGCAGTTGAGGCAATGTAGGCTGTACACATCTGCTGTGGGAATGCCTTTGGTTATAGGGGTCTTCCCCCTCGCCAGTATCATACCCTCAGCAAATGGTTCTGCACCAGCTTAGGGGTTCATACTGAGCCTCCAGTTCCTGCAGTCATGGGTCACTTTCTCTGCTTTCAGTACTGATAGTTAACCCTGATTCACGTTAAAAAACCCCAAAACTCTAAGAACAGGATCTGAATGTACTTTATAGGCAGAACCCAAACCAAACAAGATGGAACCAAACCAATTGTAGGACTTCTGAGCTTCTAGAAAGAACGGAGACAGAAACTCTATTGCTATGGACAAACCCTAAGAACCCAGGTTTCACACGCCCAAGGGGCAGCAAAGGTTTTTACAACACATGAGCCACACTGACTCTCCCCTCCTCTGAGCTGCAGTGGGTTGCAGAGGAATGTTTTTGTAGGATGGGCAACACCAACGGGCTGCTGCACCTCCAACATGGGCAGGAGGATCTGTATCTTCAGGACAGCATTTATGTGCCAAGCCTGGGACCTCTGTATTTTGTGCAGTGCCACCCACCTCTTCTCTGAATTCCTTGACACATTCCTCAGCTCATCTCTTTAGACTCTCTGTTCAGCAAATGTTGGCTAATGGTGAAAACATGCACTAGCCCAGCTTGGCTCGCCTTTTCTGCTTGTGTGGTATCCCCTGAACACCTCCCAGCTGCATTTCAAGGCCAGTTTTATGTTATAGTCCAGAAGATGAGAAGCCAGATGTGAAATGTGCTTCATCTTTCCTAGGAAAACTGACTGTCAAGGAGCTTCCACAATAAGATGTTAGAAAGTAGTTGTCAAAGACCACACAGATTTTTGAAGAAAATTACTTTTTCTGTTAAAAAGAAATAAAATCAGTATTTCAATTTATGCTGTCTTCAGAGAGAAGCAGAGCTAACAGTCAGCTCTACACCGGTTAGAGTTACCAGTGAAAAACTTCCGAAGGACTACACAAAACCCTAAGCGAAGTCACAGACATTCTCACCTAGAGACAGATAAAGTGGTGGAATCTCTCCTGTACATTTTCATCAATACCATATAGCACAGTACTGTTGTTTGGCTCTGGTGTTAGAGTTAAAAAAAAAAAAAGTAATGCCCAAATATACTGCTACATTACAATATGTTAATGCACTATATTTGCTTTTCTGGTGCTGTTCTTGGGATAAACACAGAATTAAGTGGATGAGATTCTATGGCCTGTATTAAGAGAGAAGGTCAGGTCTGATAATCTAACGGTTGCTTCAGACCCCAATCTGCAGATGAATCTTTGTAGAGCTGTGCTTTGCTCCTGGTTTCATTCCTACATCAATAATCTGAGCATTTCTTCCCCATACATTAACATTAATGAGATTTTCAGGCATTCGGAGTAAGGGGAGAAATGCAGCCTTAGTATTTGCAATTGCAAATGAGATTGTACTACATTAAATTCACTTAAAAGATGGTACTTGTGCATTTTGAAGTGGTACTTGTCTCCTGCTCTTTTTATCATGGAAGAAATATGAAGAAATGGCAAAAAAGGTTGGTCAGCTACATTTACTAAGTCTACACCAACAGCCCAGCATCAGCCCTGCACATGCTCTCGCCTGTCTGATGGCACACAGAACACACAGTAAATATCAATGTAACAGCAAAAGGGTATTGTCCTATTCTCATAAATTACAGTATGGATGATGTATGAAGGACCACCTAGGAAATAGAGTTTTGAAAGCTCTATTTCCATTTTTTTTTTTTGCCTAGACTTCATCTTGTTGAAAAAAAAAAGGCCAATCTAGTGCCTGTTCCAGAACGATGCCAACTGTATCAAACCCCACTTTCTTCTGCAGCTGACTAACACACCAGATCTACCCTGGAGGAGCTGACCTACTTGCTTCCTTCAGAGAATCAGAGAGTCCTGCTGGAAGGAGTGGGCAACACGAAAGCCACGCTCACACTGCACTGGTGAAAAGTCACGTTAGGCACCGGAGAGTCTTTGACAGAGCTCCTGCAGAACCACCAAGCTCTTCCTTGTAAGCTGTGAACCCCAGAGGACGTGCTCCATGGTCGCCAGAGCCTACGGCACAGTGCGAGGTAATCGTTACAGGGTTTTGCAATTTGATATTTTGAGATTATATATTAACACTGAGTTACCTGATGCTAATGTGGTTCCTCCTCATTTAAAGTTATAGGCAAGGAATTTAATAATAATAATATCACACCTGAAGCTGGTGAGGGGAACTAGGAAGAGAATAAGCTTACACAAAACTGGCACTACATTTATTTAAACTGGAGGTCCAACTGGCCAGTGAAAATGTGCTCACAACTAACGAGGAAAATACACCCCACAGATTTAACCAGGCAGAGAGGTAAGATCCAAGTGACAGATACTGTTAAACCCACGGGTGGTGAAGGGCAAGTCAAAACAATTAGGGCCGTCTTCCCCCGAAGCGGTTGTAGATGTGGCTACAGCAGAATTGTGACCCATTCCCAGAGGTCCCTGCTGATCCCTCAGTTAAGAAGCCACAGTAAGTCATGGCCTACACCCACCCCACTCTGGGAGAGGGCACTTTAAGTGTGTACGCAGGTAACCCTGAGAGCAGCGTGGGGATGGTGATAAAGCCAGTGCTTGGGTCGCTCCTCTGACAGTTCAACTTTGACTTCAGCTGGGCATTAAAGGTTTTGGGAAGATGTCTGATAAAAGCGCCCGTTTCTCCCTGCAAGGACTGACACCACCATAGATGCACTTGATCATGGTTTTTTCCTGCAGAAGCTGTAAAGGGGGACAGACAAGGGCCTGTGAAGATCAAAGTTCTTCTTCCTTTCCTGATGCAGCAACAGAGTTGAACGGGGAGGCAACATGAGCAGTGGGAGACTCCCAAGCTCAGCTGCGTTTAAAAGAAAAAGAAAAGTAGTCTGGGGGCACTCTGATCCCAGAAGCTTCTCATTTCCATCAGTCCCAGACTAAAAACGAGGGAGGAAAGCAAAGTCCAGCACACTGACCAGGTGGATGTCTTCTGTACAGTGCAGGGGGAAGGGCTTTGAGAGTAGCGCCCTGGAGAATATACCGACCAGAAATACACGTGCTGACTGACCGACAGTCGTCAACCCACGGCATGCCAAGGTTATTCAAGGTAAACCTCAGTAATCAGATGGGAGGTATTTTCTTCTGGCTACTTAGGCACAGCAGGATAAAATAATCTTTGAGGGCCTTTCCAAAGTTGACGGCTAAGCAGCAAGTTCAGATTTAAACACAGGACACTGCCAATTAATGGGGTTTTTTTTCTGAATATAGTAGTGTACTGCAGACTGGGATCAGAGATCAATCCAATTCACAGGTACCTGCACTGAAAGCACATTTTTTTAATAGAAGGATGGAAATACCTATGTGCCTCTCAAAAAAAAAATTATTATTAATTAAATTTTGTCTCCCTATTAAAAAATCAGTGTGCAAAGAAGTGTCCCCCACACTTATGAGGCAGGGGTTATATATTTCTGTTACGCTGCCTGCAGCTGCTGCTAGTTCTGCACATTACTGCAATGACAACAGCCAGCGTTGGCAGTGTTAACACGACATTTGGGCATGACAATGCCCAAATCGGGCAAAATTATCCAAACTAATCCAAGACTAAAGGGCAAAATTATCCAAATTAGTTTAGAGTGGAATAAGGAGGATAGATAGTGTGAATGAGGTTTGCAGTTCCATGCCCTGCTAAATTGCTTTTTCTCTTTGGTTTTGAGTTAACAAAGACTTTGCATCTGCCTTTAATTCTTCAATTACACTCGTGTTTGGAGGTTTGGTTTCTGTCCTACGCCTGAACTGTGCAAGCTGCCACAGCATTCCCCGTTATCTCTGGTGCAAGCAGCTATCAATCGAGATCAGCTGCATCTCCCCTGAACATCCTGTTGGGTCTATCCAGTATCACTGTTAAGCTTAGCACGAACCAGAGCTCATCTCCACCAAAATCTTCTTAAAGGTATGTGTTTAGAAGGTGTGTGCAGCAGGCTCATAATCCACTGAAAACAAGGTCTTAAAGTGAAATTGTCAGACAGA